ACAACATATCATCACTATGTATCTGTGCAACTAAGAATTGTAATTACAATTTCACAACATGTCAACAGTCAGTTCAAGCTTCTCGACCATCACCACTGACACCATTTTTCCCACAACTCACAGCCCCGATACAATGTCAGGATAGCAGTATAAATTGTTATATTTCAAACAGTGGCACTACTAACATAACTAATTACTGCATGTATTCTCCACTGAATCCCGATTTCTCTAGCTATTTCGGCTGTTATGTAAGTACAAGATTTGCCGTCGATCTTGTAGGATGTGACACCTATTTTAAATCCAACAGTGTTATGTGTGGTGTCAAATATCAACCATCTGAAGTTTTTGGTTCCTCCACGGCATTGCAATTAAGATTAACAGCAGAGGAATATGTTTATACGATCATCAATGCTTTTATATCTAACAATCAATATCCATCACAATATTCTGATACTCAAGATTACTTTTCTGCAGTTGGTATCTCTTCAACTGTCTATGAAGGACAAAACAATACAGTATTTCGAATCGAACAACGAGACATTGTTGGAAATCTACAACAATTTTGGTATTGGTGCTTTTGCACAACCGATTATTGTAATACAGATTTTACAACATGTGCAACGGGAATCAATTACAATTCAACATCGACAACACCATCACAACCCATTATTTATCCACAAAATAGTAAGTAAAGCCGTCTCATTATTCTCCATCTTTTCTATCCTCATCCATGGATTTCAAGTAAGAAGAGTTCACCGTATGCCCTAAATTGGATTATACTGTTCTAAGAGTACATCCCCTCCGTGAAGATCAAAATCTTGAATTAAAGTGTCTTCCATAGTATGAAGTCTCTCCCAGTTTTCTATGGCCTTTTCTCGTCGAGATATGAATATTTTAAGATTTGCTACTAGACTGAGAAAACCAAGCTTTTTAACTCCAAACTATTTTCGCTAAATGCTGAGAGTAGAATCCCGCGGGTTTAACCCAATCCCCATTCCGAACCCGCGAGTTCGGGATCGGGATCCCGAAAGCTTTTCTTCGGGTTCGGAACGGATTTCAGTTCATCTGAAAGGATTCGGGATCGGGTTTGTTTCCGATCCCGATTCTTCTAGTTTGATATAGGGGAGATAAGCGACAATTCTAAATATGTAAAAAACAATGGAAAATAAGGAAGATGGACAGGTGCTTCACACTAGAAGTACAAATGGCTTTTAGACCGACCAAGTGAATTTTATTTTTGTACCTCTACGAGTAGAAATTTACTAACGTTAAAGCGAAAGAGAGCACTACTTCACTGGAAAAGTAATATTTGGGGTTCGAGCGGCTTCGGGATGCGTTTTATTTGAAAAAGTAGGGATCGAGTTTGGGATTCCGAAAAAGTTCTGGCAGGTTCGGGTTTGGAACTGGTTCGGGACGGGTTCAAACAACCTCAAACCCGCGGGACTCTAGCTAAGAGCGAGTTAGAATTTTTTGAGTATGCTATCACGTGGCACAACATCTTTCATGTAGATCAATGTCACGTTGATATAAACAATAATTATTACGACATTTTCCTTGTAAGCATACGTTTATGCACATCCTTCGCCAGTTGTTATGAAAATCTGAGGCTAGCTGCAATTTTGCATGGTTGTCTACTGTTTTGTAGGCATAAGGAAAAACCTTTACAAAAGGTTTACAGACAACTCTGAGAGAAAGAAATTTCGATAAAAACCCGTGAGTGAAACATTTGTGCCAATTTTGACAAAATTTTAGAAAATCCATGTGTACATTATTCGATGCACTTTGACATGCTTATTCCGCATGTGATTGTTTTTCCGAAAAATGTAGAATCAAAGTTTCTTGGAAGTCTGACATCGAAATCCAGAAAGAAAACTACCTGCATCCTAAATTCCCTGCACGTATAGACGAACATTCTGGAACGTTTGGTCATAGATAAAACTGAGGAAAGTTGCTCAAACTCATAACACTGACAACAGATTACTTTGGTGAGAAAATAATTTTGTTTCTCCGACTCTTTAAGGCCAAAACATTTCTTCGGTAGTAGACAGCCGAAAAGTCTAAATTTATGACGAGTGTCACTTTCATGTCTCGCTTTGTTCGATACAATAGAAAACAATTCTGCCTTTATAGCGATGTGTTTTCAGCCAATTTTTCGCCGTGTTTTCCACTGATCCTTGATATAAATTGGAAAAAAGCAAAAAATCTTATAGCAATAAATAGCCCATCTAGCGAAGTATGTTTTCCATCAAATAAACCTAAAAACAGATCACTTTCGATTTTTCCATAAATGCCGCATGAAGTTCCGCTCGCTGTGCTCCTCCCATCAGGGCCTGAGTCCTCTCGTGCTTCAAGTGTTTACTTTTCTTATTTTCGCCCATATGAAAATGAGTTCAAGGATGTTCTATAAACTTGAACATCAACTGTTAGCCTCCTCCGTGAACAATATGCAGTGGCGGAGCGACCGTTATACCCTCCCTGCTTTTAGATATTTCCTTGAAAATTTGCTCCGATTTGAGCCAAAAGTACGGAAAACTTACTTCGACTTTATGAAAGAATGGACTGAGTTTACTTCGATTTGCCAAACTTCTGTTTGCAATTTTTACGGTTTTTGCGCAGATATTGGCTGTTTTCTCCAATTTCCGGCCATCTTTGCTACAAAAATGTGACAAGATCGGGGAAAGCTAGAACAAGGTGGAACACCTCCTTCTCAAGATGAACGGGTCCAGGTCCCTACTGAAGCATTGGTTGACAGCCTTGGACTTGAGTATTTTTTATCGAGTCCAGTTGGAGTCCAGTTAGGATCTATCATAATCAAGAATGAAATCAGTGTAATTAGGATATACTGTATACCATCCTTTTGATTTTTCAATATGAATTCAAATCACCAGACTCATATCTACACTAGTCCTAAAATTTCTCTTTCCTTGTTCAGATGTGCAACCGGATTTCATGAGGTTATCCTCTGACGGTTCGTCGTTATGCGAAAAACAGTTATCAGCAAGGTTTCTGGACGTCATCAGACGTCAAAATTTGTAGACAACGAGCAGAGTACAATCTGGAAATGTTTTTACTGATATCGACTGAAGATATGGGAACCAGAGCAAAATTTTCACGCGGTGTTTTTTTTCGCGTTGTATTTGTAGGTTCTTCGCTCGTTTTTCAACCATAGTGACACCGAATATACTGGTAGATTTTCGCTTTCAGACACTGCTCAAACGCAAAGAGCACGCGTTGAGATTAAGCGCGCACCAAACCCAAACCGAATATGTAGGGTTCGGTTATATCGCTGATCTGTGACTATTCAGGGAGGCACTTAAACTCATTCCATGCATATCAGTTGCCGTTGCAGATCTGTGGTATCCCTACTATGATCATTTTGCTTCAGTAATTGTAATGCGCTTTTATCAGAATTGGACAGCGGCAGGGCGTCAACGTAGCAGGGCGGGGTACATCAAGTGTTGAGCACTTGTTCAAGTATCAATCTTAACCTGTAGCGGCCCAAGGACAAACTGCATTTTTTATGTGTCCCTACGTGGCACTAAATTTAATTAATAAGCTTAATCGACTTAAGCTTATCTTGATACCGCAACATGACTTAAGTCGATTGGTGATTATCGAACTAGAGAACGTTTATAACATGAGAAGACATTTTCAATGATAGATAAGCGTAAGTTGTGCTTTTGTTTTTCTTTTTTTCCTTAAAAACTTTGTCAGTTTCGTTTAATCCTCTCAGTTTTAATGATAGTGATAGGACTTGTACAATACATGTATTCAGTGTATACCTGTTTTAGTGAAAAGATTGGGAAAATGTTGAATAGAATTTTAATTTTAACCATTGTACTTTTGTCAATAACTGCTGATGCTGAAGAAATCAAAGCCAAAAATATAGCTCTCAGTTATTTGAAGCGCTACGGTTACAGCGCATGTAATTCGTCAGCATCGTCGACAGTCCGGTGTAGTGAATCTTTTGATTCAATGTTAAGAACATTTCAACGTTACTTCGGTCTAAATGTTACTGGCAAGCTTGATGCGCCAACAAAATCCATTATGAAGCTTTCACGATGTGGCGTTAGTGACAAACCGCATCGAAGTCTGTTGCGGGAAATGGCAAGCATCTCTAAATGGTCTCGGTCCTTGTTAAAATACCGCATTGAAACGTTTGCTTCCAGTAATCAGATCAAAGAGGAAAACCAAATAAAGATAATCAAAGATGCATTCCATGAATGGTCCAAGCACACGGCGATAAAATTTGTAATGGTTTGCCATTCATGTTCAGCCGATATTTCCATAAGATTTGAGAGAAATGATCACGGTGATGGGACACCATTCAATGAAGGAACGTTGGCACACGCTTTTTCTCCGGAAGATGGCAGAATTCACTTTAATTCTGATTCTGTATGGACAGAATCGTACGTATGCTAATTATCGGCTTGTTTTGTGAAACTCCGACGAAGAACGAGAACATGTTATTATAGTATTAAGAAGAAACGTAACTGGAGAGGAAGCTGAATTGATTGGGACAACTAAAATACTCATCCCTCTGCTCTCCTCCTAACATACCCGACGTACAGACATTTGAACTGCCGTAAGGCATTTAAATTCAGTTACCTCACAGCATTTACATGAGATTCAATTGCCTTATGGCATTTAAACACGAATAATACACCGTAACGCCGTCAGCCACTCTTAAATGGATTTCATGGACTCTTCTTTCAAAAGTTAAGAATTTTTCAATTTCGTCTGAACAAGGCGTACCATGAATTATTAGAAAATTCATATCTCAGTGCAAAAAGGTGGTAGAGAGAACCAAAATCAAAAAGTTTGATTTTGGGCCTCCCGGAGATCTACTGATCAGTTGAGTCAATACCGGGAAATTAAGACTTCATATTCTCAGGTTCCCATTACTTTGCAGAGCTGCAACGCACGTGACAATCGGGTAGTTCTGAGCCCCCTTTCCGGTCGCTCAGTATTACTATCTCAGAAATTCACTTTTATACTGGAATTAGTTGCCTTATGGCTGCTATCTTAACGGTGATGTGTCGATCAAGATCACAAAAGCAAACAAGCGCCGTGATCGTCGACATCTTTGTGATGAACGTACGTTAATGCTTGCCTTAACATTCGTTAAGGCTGCTTTTGTGCCGCATTAGCTGGCATTGGTATCTGAATTCCGATTTAATTATCGTACGATATTTAATAGGATTCATGAGATCTATTCGTATTTTTCAATAAACTTTTATTATTGTGTGTACATGTCATACCTCGTCGGAGTTTTACATTTAGACATGAATGGCTTACACTAACAAGTTTCTTTTCGTTTGTCAAGCTATGATCATCTAACAGCGTACAGTTTATTCCTTGTTGCAGTGCACGAAATAGGTCATACATTAGGTATTGACCATAATTCAAACAGACAATCAGTCATGTATTCAACGTATCAAAGCATGCAACGATCAGAAATTTTACCACGTATCGATCAGCAAACAGTACGGTCGATTTACGGCGAAAAGGAAAACCGTGAGTAACTGCCACTAGCTTTAATTTTACATCTGTCCCAGCGAACAAATTTTTGACGAGTCGACAAAATCAGGACAGCACAATCTTCGGTTGAATGTATAACTCCTACAAGGGAGCTATAAGTGGATCAACTATTTTTTCTCTATACGAATGCAGCCAGCCGCCTCCTTCGCGC